AATTTGACTAGATAACTTAGTTTTTGCATCCCAATATCTTTTTGTTTAATCTTGTCAATAAATTAGTATTAGTGTGTACATACACACACACACATATATATATATAAGATTTTGGGAAAAATTAATTTTTTGACCTTTCCAGTTTTAACTACTCGACTTGATACTGAACTTTTAACTCAATTAAAATTCAATTTTAAACCTTTTATCATTTAATAAATTAACCTATGTCATACATAGCTCACTTTAAGTCATCACTCAATCATGTTACGTGTGCTAACATGACTTCCAAATAAGTTCTGTATTTTATTAGTAGTTAGTCACTCACAGTTCATCTTTTCTCCTAGTTTCCTTTGCATTATTTTCCTCCTCTTTCTCAAAATCATCATTAAAGCGATGTTGTTATATACGTACCATAGAATCTGGCAGTTAAAATGTTATTATTTTAAAGTTTGAATATTGTTGAAAAATAAGCAGCTATGGCAAAGAGATGCAAGATGGTGTTCAATCTGAGCGAGGAATCATTTGAGTTTGGATTGAGGATTGTATGTAAACTACGTGGATGCTTTGACAAGTGAGCAAATTTTTTTCTTTTAAAAGAAAAGCAAGCTATTTTATTTTATAAAAAAGATCAGTATATAAATATAATCACACACTAGATAACAACTCATAAAAGTCTGCAACAACTAAAATCTTAATCATTCCTGATGTAAAAAGTTTATAATACTATCTCCGGTCCTGATTATAAGATATCATCTATAAACGAGATCTTATAAAACGAAGTCTTATAATTAAGATCGGAAGTAGTATTAAAAATAGAAGTCAAATTTGTTAGACATTTTACAAAATCTCTTGGAATTGGCCAAAACTGGGAATTGGTGGGGTTGATGGATGAACTAAGGGAACAAGCGGATAAGAGCAAATTATGGAAACCATTATGAACTCCCATGTGCTTTGAAGTTGGCCTTTTTCTAGGTTTAGGTAATTTCTCATTCTCAGGTAGGAATTTGATCATCAAATTTAGAAAATACTGCTGAGAGAATTAGAAGAGCACTGTTTTGTATTTATTCACAATAGGTAATTTATGGTTATAATAAAAATAGGCCATCTATATATAAAGTATATTATACTATCTCCGATCCTTAATATAAAAGATAGTTTGCAATTTAATTTGTTCGAAATATAAAATTTCAATCCATTTTATTTCCAATATTTATTTATTCTGCTCTCAAGTAACCCATTTAATTGTTGCATATATTAAAGAGTTGCTATTGATGGGTAATTCAAACACACATGATTAATAAGAATATTTTAGTGAAGACATCATCTATTTACTTTAAATAACTAACTTAACTAACTTCCTTAATCTTCTCAAATTAGTCAATTAGATTTTGTATTAAGAATCAGAAGTAGCAATTAACAATGATAAATAATAAAATGCAAACCACAGTCATTTAGGATATACATATTCAACTAATTTAATTTGAACTTTTATGTTTATAACTATATATACACAAGAATAAAAAACTGTTCAAAAGAAAACAATTGCTATACACACACACAATTACCATTCTTTTTTAAGCATTAATTACTATTTTTTTGGTATATATAAGTACTCATTTATGTGTATGGTAGGTTTCTGGGCAACATCTATTATCATCAAAATCTGTAACAACAAAACTCGTCTCCGCATCCTTACAATGTGTAATTAATTTCTAGTACACATGAGGGTTGAGTTTGACACTAGCTTTTGGGTTGGATGAACATTTTAGGTCATAAAATATAATGACATGGTGATTGATTGGGATAGATCATATTATTTTTAGGTCCAGTTTATGCTACACAAAGTAAAGAAGTTAAAATTTAAAAACAATAGAAAAAAATAATTTCATTTATTAAAAAATTAATGTAATTATCCTTATCCATAATATATCCCCTTAAAATTTAGGGAAAATGCCAGAAAAATGCACCTCCAACTCCAAAAGCCCAAAAACGTCCGCCGAATTTCAGTAATTCCGTTTTGGTACCAGCAGACCATTCTGGGATTATTTTCTTAGACAAAAAGACCAAACCGCCCTCAGTGTTATTTTAAACAAAAGGTGGGAACAGAGGCGGTTTTTCGACTCTCTCATTCTCGACCCCTGTTGCAGCCGACGGAGCGAAGAAGAGAGGAGAAGAGAGCGGAGGAGGAAGCTACTACCGGCGTCGAAGAAGAGAGAAGAGACGAAGGAAGAGCGTTTGGTGGTCACCGTCGAAGAAGAGAAAGGAAAAGAACGACGGAACGGCTACATTGCGGCAATCGATCGAAGGTGAGGAAGAGAGAAAAGGAGGAATTTGCGGTGAGACAGAGGTAAGTTTGTTAACATTTCTTCCTTCTCTGTGTTTGTTCAAGTTATATATTTGATATTGCTACTACTTTTAAGATGTCGATCGAATGTGTGTGAGAGGGAGTGGGCAGTTTCTGGAGATGAAAATGACAAAGTGAATGTGCAGAAAGTGGAGGACCCACTAGATTGCTTGCATTTCACCATATGATGACTGATATACTTTCAGGAGTGTGGACCACATACACAGCCCACAGCCCCGTACCTTTTCTTTTCTTGTTAATGATTTCACTGTTTCATCACTACTTTATCTCTACCTTTTTGTTCTTTTCATTCACATTTCCCACTCCTCCAGCCCAGCCACCAAGCTATTCCTGTCAGCTTAATTAACATCGATGACACTGTTATCTCTATGGACAATAATTGTCTTTCATCTATTAGCCTAAGTTAAATGCATATTAGTATAATTGTATAGTTTGATTTAAGGTATGAATCACAGTGATGGTGTGGGGGAGTGTGTATAAGGGTGTAGAGGGCGCCAAACTTAAAATAATTATTTGAAAAAAAGGTGAATGTACCCACTGTCATGTAAATATATATATGTTGTTAATCCCTACACTGGAGTTGTAAAATTGTAACCGAAGTTGGAGAAAAGGGTTTGTGTTTTCTTGAAAATGCTGTTGTGAATAGCCATACTGAAGTTGTAAAAGTATATGTAGATGTTGTTAAGCCGTACACAAGGGTTGTAAAGTTGTAACCGAAGTTGGAAAAAGGGGTCTGTGTTTTGTTGAAAATACTGTTGTGAATAGTCATACTGAAGCTGTAAACATGTATATAGATGTTGTTAATACCTACACCGAAGTTGTAAAATAGTAACCCCGAAGTTGGAAAAAGGGGTCTGTGTTTTCTTCAAAATGCTGCTGTGAATAGCCATACTGAAGTTGTAAATACTTATATAGATGTTGTTAATCCCTACACTGGAGTTGTAAAATGGTAACCGAAGTTGGAGAAAAGGGTTTGTTTTCTTGGAAATGCTGTTGTGAATAGCCATACTGAAGTTGTAAAAGTATATATAGATGTTGTTAATCCGTACACAAGGGTTGTAAAGTTGTAACCGAAGTTGGGAAAAGGGGTCTGTGTTTTGTTGAAAATACTGTTGTGAATAGTCATACTAAAGCTGTAAACATGTATATAGATGTTGTTAATACCTACACCGAAGTTGTAAACTAGTAACCCCGAAGTTGGAAAAAGGGGTCTGTGTTTTCTTCAAAATGCTGCTGTGAATAGCCATACTGAAGTTGTAAATACTTATATAGATGTTGTTAATCCCTACACTGGAGGTGTTAAGTTCTAACCGAAGTCGGAAAAAGGGGGTTTGTTTTCTTCAAAATGTTGTTGTGAATAGTCATACTTAAGTTGTAAATATGTATATAGATGTCGTTAATCCCTACACTGGAGTTGTAAAGTTGTAACCGAAGTTGGAAAAAGGGGTCTCTGTTTGCTTGAAAATACTGTTGTGAATAGCCATACTGAAGTTGTAAACATCTATATATATGTTGTTAATACCTACACCGGAGTTGTAAAATAGTAACTCCGAAGTTGGAAAAAGGGGTTGTGTTTTCTTGAAAATGCTGTTGTGAATAGCCATAATGAAGTTGTAAATACTTATATAGATGTCGTTAATCCCTACACTGGAGCTGTTAAGTTCTAACCAAAGTCGGAAAAAGGGGTCTGTGTTTGCAACAAAATGTTGTTGTGAATAGTCATACTGAAGTTGTAAATACTTATATAGATGTTGTTAATCCCTACACTGGAGGTGTTAAGTTCTAACCGAAGTCAGGAAAAGGGGTTTGTTTTCTTCAAAATGCTGTTGTGAATAGCCATACCGAAGTTATAAATAACTATATAGATGTTGTTAATCAGAAGTTCCTAATTGTTTTCTGACATGCTTGTATTAATGTGTAATGTGCAGAAAAAATGGTGTTGGAGGGAGAGACATCAACTTCAAAAGGGCCAAGGAATGGGTATGTCTTATTTAGAGAGGAATTTGCTCAAGGGAAAAAATTCAAGGGTGTAGTAGATAGAACTAACAAGGCGAAAGAGGCATGGGCAAGGCTCTCTATTAAGGAGAAGAAAATATATAGTGAAAGGGCCAAACAAATGAGGCCGGAGAAGAAGAAGAGTAAGAGAGTATGGAAAATGTTCACCCGTTGCTCTGTTCGTCAATTCATGTCACTGGCGGAATTTGTTAAGAGTGATGAAAGTTTAAGACAAAGGATAGAGAACATAGGATTCTCTAAGTTGTTGGATGTGGAAATTGACAAACTCCCACGTGAGTTAATTGTAGCTTTCATTCAATCGTACGATCCAGCAACACATCAGTTCCGATTAAGGGGGAGGACAGAAGAAGTTGAGGCAAACGATGTGGGAACATTGCTTGGTGTGCCCCATACTGGGGAAGAGGTAAAAGGAGATGTTGATGAAAATCATGACACATATAAGAAGCTGAGGAGAAAGTATTTAAATGTTGTTTATAGCAAGATATTAGCTGACATAAAAAGTGGGACGGATGATGAGCATTTTGAACTATTATTTATGTTGGTCACACTTGGCACATTTCTAGCTCCAACTTCAAGTGCAAGAGTTGGTGAGAAGTTATTAAGGGTGGTATGTGCAACTATGAATGGATATGAACAGTATGATTGGGCAACGTACATCATGAATGACCTCTACAAGGAAATGGAAGATTATGTGAATTTGTTCAGGAAGGAGAGGGATCCGTGCTGCACTGTGGGTGGCTGCCTGTACTTCTTGGTGGTATGTTTAGAGCAAAACATGTTGTTCAATGTTAATGTAACTGTTTAATTCAATTGGCTAATGCGGTGTGTTCTATGATTGTGGTTGCAGCTATATTTGGGTGAGAAATTCCCATTGTCAAAAGCTACTAACCATGACCCAACAAATGCTATTGCATATTGGACGGATAAGAGAATAAAGGAATTGGTCAACAAAGAGTCAAAGAGTAACATAGGCCTATTGTACAAAGGGAAGTCTACAAAAGTGGTCGAAGATACAATAAGTGTTGCTCATCTACGACCGGTATGTTTATAGTTTTGTATGTATAAAATTCATTAATATGTAAAGAGTTTAACTGTTTAGCAAATGTGTTAGCAGGAATTGAAGCAAGTGCATCGAAGGATGATGGATGCACTTGAGGAAAGCCATAAAAGGCTTAGTAACCAATTTGCAGAGGAGCTTATGAAGGTGCAGCTCCATCTACAGGGGATGCCAAGTTCAAATCTGAGGGACCTTGTTGACAACACACGCGATGAGGCAGTGATTCTTCCATCTGATGGTAAAGGTGAAGAGGGAGGTAGTGACAAAGGTTATAGTGATGGAGATACTGCTGAAGGTGAAGCCCATGATCAGGAAAGAGGTAGTGATGAAGGTGATGAGGATGGAGAGGAAGGAGACAGTGAGAAAGGTGATGATGAAGGAGATAAAGGGGTGGAGTCATCAGATGAAGAGACTGACAAGGGAGAAGACCAAAGGCCATCAAAGAGAACAATCATTCCAAGTCGTCAAGTAACTTCTCCATGGATTTCCATGTTGAAGCCTGTTAAGAGGAGAAAGAGAGTGATAACTGAGAAAGACAAGTTTTTCAACATTGTCTCTCGTATGTGTTCACGGGAGGAGGGTCAGAAGTAAGATATGCCGTGCATGGAACATTGAAAGCAGGAAATTTTTTTCATCTTGTTTTGTTATTGTTGTTTTACTTACATATGATGTATACATTGCAGGATTATGGTTACAATGTGTGATGAACAAATTGATCGGGATCAATTGCGCACGATAGGTGGAATCGAAAGAGTGAGTAGCCCTCTAATAACAATGGTCGGTAGGGCATTAATGGCAGAGGCAGGTGAGGGAGGACAAGTGAGGCGACACATTTTTGATGCTGAGTTCATGGTGAGCCCTGTGGTGTGTACGGTTTGTTTGACAATTACAGGTTGTGATGATTAAACTAATATGTTGTTTTGTAGATGAAAATGCTTGGTAACCCTTCTCAGTGGCGAGCATCAGAGAACAAACGTGCTATTTTGCCACAGCATATCGGGTACAACCTAGGTGACTGTGATTTAATATTTGGACCCGCAATTGTTGAGTCTCACTGGTTTTGCTTTGTGTTGGAGCCAAAAACAATGCATTTTTATGTCCTGGACTCCATGAGGCTGCCTAATGATATGCCAAAGAAGACCAAGAAGAAGGATTCATTGGAAGAAAAAAGGATGTTTCATCTTCATGCATGTGTAAGGACTAAACTAATGTATCTGTGTATCACAAGTGCCCAATGTTTCCACCTTTTTATCTCATATTTTGGATTTCTGTTGTTGGTTTGCAGAGAGACAACTTTTATGATATAATTGCATTAGTCAGACCTCAACTTGTTGGGAAGAAGCCTAAGACTGATATTATTTTTGCACCTGTTCCACAACAGAACAACTTGTATGTTGTGTTGACTGTTGACATTGTTTTCTAGTTTAAGATGTGAATTGCAGAAGCAGACATACTAACTTAAATGTTTTATTTCCCATTGGATGTATAGGAGAGATTGTGGTGTTCATGTGTTGATCTGGCTAAGCAAATGGGTCCCGGATGTGACATTTGACTTCAATGAGGTATGAAAGTTGTCTATAATTAATGATTAATTATTTGCCAGGTACGGTGAACATTAACATATGGACCTGTCTTATATGCAGAATCATGTAGCTGAGTTTAGGCGTGAGCTAATGTGGTGGCTAGTTAATCATCCGCAAAATTCAAGTCGTGAAGAAGCCTTAACTCTCCTCTCAGAACAGCAGAACAAGACAACCACCAAAAGACGACGTTTGTCATAGTACTTAGTAGGAGGTTCCTTTTACATGTCTATGTGACACTCTGATGTAGTTCCATGTTATTTAACTTGGGAGAACATTTATGTACATGGCAGAAGGACTGATTTCAAGATTAGTAATTGTGTCTTGTTAGCAACGGGTTCATACCATTTGCGACATTAGTAGTCAGACTTTATGGTAAATTTTAACAGCAGCATTATATATGTTTCCAACTTGTGTATCGATTTTCACAACAGCATTCACGAGATGAAAACAAGTACCCCTTTTTACAACTTCAGTGAAGCTTTTAACAACTTCAGTATAGGTTTTTCACAACTCATGTATACCCGTTAAGTAATGGGTCCCTTGCACGCCCACACCCAAGTGGGAAACGTGTTGAAGATCGGGGAGAAATTTTACAACTCCAGTGTATGCATTAACAACATTATTATACTATTTTACAACTTCAGTATAGGTTTTCACAACAGCTTTCTGAAGATGGAAACAAATACCCCCTTTTACAACTTCGGTGAAGCGTTTAACAACTTAAGTATAGGTTTTTCACAACTCAAGTATACCCGTAAGCTAACGGGTCCCTTGCACACCCACACCCTCGTTGGAAACGTGTTGAAGATCGGGGAGAAATTTTACAACTCCAGTGTATGCATTAACAACATTATTATACGATTTTACAACTTCAGTATAGGTTTTCACAACAGCTTTCTGAAGATGGAAACAAATACCCCCTTTTACAACTTCGGTGAAGCGTTTAACAACTTAAGTATAGGTTTTTCACAACTCAAGTATACCCGTAAGCTAACGGGTCCCTTGCACACCCACACCCTCGTTGGAAACGTGTTGAAGATCGGGGAGAAATTTTACAACTCCAGTGTATGCATTAACAACATTATTATACGATTTTACAACTTCAGTATAGGTTTTCACAACAGCTTTCTGAAGATGGAAACAAATACCCCCTTTTACAACTTCGGTGAAGCGTTTAACAACTTAAGTATAGGTTTTTCACAACTCAAGTATACCCGTAAGCTAACGGGTCCCTTGCACACCCACACCCTCGTTGGAAACGTGTTGAAGATCGGGGAGAAATTTTACAACTCCAGTGTATGCATTAACAACATTATTATACGATTTTACAACTTCAGTATAGGTTTTCACAACAGCTTTCTGAAGATGGAAACAAATACCCCCTTTTACAACTTCGGTGAAGCGTTTAACAACTTAAGTATAGGTTTTTCACAACTCAAGTATACCCGTAAGCTAACGGGTCCCTTGCACACCCACACCCTCGTTGGAAACGTGTTGAAGATCGGGGAGAAATTTTACAACTCCAGTGTATGCATTAACAACATTATTATACGATTTTACAACTTCAGTATAGGTTTTCACAACAGCTTTCTGAAGATGGAAACAAATACCCCCTTTTACAACTTCGGTGAAGCGTTTAACAACTTAAGTATAGGTTTTTCACAACTCAAGTATACCCGTAAGCTAACGGGTCCCTTGCACACCCACACCCTTTGGAAACGTGTTGAAGATCGGGGAGAAATTTTACAACTCCAGTGTATGCATTAACAACATTATTATACTATTTTACAACTTCAGTATAGGTTTTCACAACAGCTTTCTGAAGATGGAAACAAATACCCCCTTTTACAACTTCGGTGAAGCGTTTAACAACTTAAGTATAGGTTTTCACAACTCAAGTATACCCGTAAGCTAACGGGTCTCTTGCACGCCCACACCCTCGTTGGAAATGTGTTGAAGATCGGGGAGAAATTTCACAACTCCAGTGTATGCCTTAACAACATTATTTTAAAATTTTACAACTTTAGTATCGGTATTCACAACAGCTTCCTCAAGATGGGGGAAAAAACCCTTTTCACAACTTCGGTTAACCTTTTAACAACGTCAGTATAAGGTTATCACAACGCAGGTATACCTGTTACCACCTGGTATACAGGCGTGCTTACGCCCTCTTTAGAAACGTGTTTACAGACTAAACCCACTTCAATATGCGTTCCCAACAGCATTTCCAATAATGACTAAACCCACCATATTACAACTTCAGTAAACCATATAACAACCACTAAATAATGTTTCAACAACTCGAGTAAAAGTTTAACAACTGTCATAAAACAAAATGATTAGTAATACCCATATTTTTAACTCAGTTCAAATGAAGTTCATATACGATGATCATACTTAAAAACATAAAATATAAGGCAACAATATCAAACATGAATAATAAGGGGACTCGTCTTGCAACTTCTGTCATTGTTAACAACACAGTTAAAGGAAATAACAACTTCAATATAGGTATTTTCCTATAACCAGATCCTTCCTGACAGTACTTACAATCAGTGACAGGCTAACATTAATATTTCATCCCCACTTAATGTTTTCTTGTCACTGACATCAAAATACACATTTCACTGACTATGTGTGACTTACGATGTCGACTTCCCACATGACACAACCCTTCATCCAAAAAAATATGAAGAGTTGCAAAATATTTACAAGCCACAACAAAAAATAACCTTTACAAAATAAACCCACACGTGGACTACCAATTTTAACTTGGGTTTGGATTTCTGCATGTTCTTTTACTATGCCCAGGTTCATGACACTGTCCACAGTGGTAAATCTTCCTGTTTTGGAATTGGGATTCCCGCCTCCTAATTCTTGGCCTTCCCGAAGGTCTACTAGTTGTAGGTGGGTATAGCCACACTTGGTTTCCCATATTTTGCAGCATATAATCATTAGGATTAGGCCTGTCAATTGTCACTACTGGAATCATGGTGTTCCCATAAATCTTCTCTTGGGATGTTATTTTATAACAGTCCTCCACAAAATCATACACATTTGCATGAACCACCCTTATTGCAGCACAAGCGTGTGGACACGGAATCCCTGTCATTTGCCATGCAGCACAAGTGCATTCATGTGACTGAACATTGACATATAAGGCTCCACGCGAAGTATGTACACAGACCCTACCACCTCCATAAGGTTCACCATGCATATGAATCGATCTAGCCACATTTTCCATCACTTTTCCATCAATGTTTGGACCCACACCATTTCTCCAGTTCCTCATTGCCACACTTGCTGCGAACATCTTCCTTGCAACCTTCTCACGATGTTCATGAATAAGTTGGGCAACATTATGCTGCCTTTCCTTTACAATCCAAGCATTGAATGACTCAGCAATGTTCGTTGTTATGTTATCCCACCGTTTATATGCAAACTTGCTCATTGCCCACTTATGAATATCACCATGATTGTTAAGCCACTGAAGTAACTGAGGACTGAAATTTCCCATCCTTGTCATTGCCTTATCAAACTCAACGTTAACCCTTGCATATGCAATGTCATCAAGCAACTTTAATCCAACTTCCTTACTAATACCACTAGTTCTCCTCCTACCTCTGTATAATTTATTCATTTCAGAGCTGAAATTTTCCTTCACGTGTCTATAACAGTATGCATGACGGTCACCTCCAAATATTGCTCCAACAGCTCCTATTATTGCATTGTGACGATCTGACACAATAATTAATTGGATTGCACCAACTATCTGTTTTATCATGTTTAAGAACCATGCCCACTCCTCATAAGTCTCTCCTTTCACAATAGCATACGCGAATGGTAACAATTCATTGTCCGCGTCATATGCTGAGGCTGATAGCAGTGTTCCCCTATATGGTCCACTCAAATGTGTTCCATCTATGTACAGTATATGTCTTGCCCCAGACAAAAAACCCTCTATGCAACAACCATATGCTATGAAAACACGCTCAAATATATTGTTAACAGTTGCTACCCATTCAGCTACCGTCTTCTCATCGGTTTCCTTCAATCGTTGACATATCCATGGTATCAACATGTATGACTGTTCAGGCCTCCCTTGTATTTCCTCTAATGCTTTTTCCTTAGCCCTATATGCTTGCTTATATGTCAACTTCACACCATAATCCCTTGCCAAGGTCCTCCTTATTTCATTTGGACGCTTTTCAGTGTGATCCCTTACCTCCTCAATGATAATTGATGATGTCAAGGCTGCTCTTCCACCATGTGTAACTTGCATCATCTCTTGGGCATTATGCACATGTTCATTACTCAGTCGAGTTACAACGAGGAAAGGACTTCTCTTCGCAGCTACTCTTGCTATTATCCGCCAAGGACAACCTTCAACTTTGCATTTCACATGCACACATTCCTCACAATTTTTTACATATTTGTACTCGA